GTGAATCATCCCTTTGTCCAGCATATCCACACTGTATATGCTACCTACCCGTTAGTCGCTTAGCTGACTCAGTTATCAGATCTACTGTTGCGGTATGGCAATGCTTATGTACGCAAGTAACCTTTATTTTATTTAATAATGGCCCCAAAGCACAAGAGTAGTGATGCTGGCAATTCAGATATGTCAAAGAGAAGCTGTAAAGCGCTTTCTTTAAGTGAAAAGGTGAAAGTTCTCAACTTAAAATCACATACTGAGGTTGCTAAGATCTACCATAAGAACAAATCTATCTGTGAAACGGTGAAGGAGGAAAAATAAATTCATTCATAGTATACGTAGGGTTTGGTAGCAAGATTTCAGGCATCCACTGGGGGCCTTAAAACGTATTCTCCGCAGATGAGAGGAGACTATTGTAATAGCTATTTTGGTACTCACCGATATTTAAAACATCTTCCACAGCCTGAGTTGCAACCCTGTTAATATTGAATGACCTAGAAACAAAAACCACATTATTCTTTCTTGTTCTAATTCTAAAATCATGCTAAAAATGAAAAGGTATAATCTACTTAATATATAAATAACTCTTAGAAATTCCTAAAACAAGTTATAAATAAAAAGAGCTAAAAACTGATAAATAATATATTGGTATGGGTATGGAGAAAGAAGTATTCTCATACATGGGTAGGAATACAGAAATTGCAGTTGAAAAGCAATTACGTACTATCGAAATAAAAATGAATATATTCTTCAATCTAGCAATTCATCCTAAAATATACTTACATATATAGTGTACAAAGATATGAACAAAAATATTTACTGAAGCACTGTTTATAACAGCAAAACAACTCACATATATATCCATGGGAAGCTGATTAAATAAATATTACAGCTAGTCACTATATTAAAAATAATAGGACTATATGTGCTGAGAAAGAAGGATAACCAAAATATTAAGTTAAAATACAAAGAGCATTATGTAGTGTATATATTATTTCCCTATTTTATTTTAAAAGCAAAAAAACTACACACATATATATGGC